TTGCCTGTAAGGTTTCCTTTGGGAAATCAGCTGACAGTCTGATGGGAACTCCTTTGTAGGTGACTGTCCCCTTATCTCTTGCTGCTTCTAGGACTCTCTCTTTCATTTTAATCTTGGCTAATATAATTATGATGTGCCTTGGTGTGTTCCTTCTTAGGTCCAACTTCTTTGGGACTCTCTGAGCTTTCTGGATTTCCTGGAAGTCTATTACTTTTGCCAGACTGGGGAAGTTCTCCTTTATTATTTGTTCAAATAAGTTTTCCACTCGTGGCTGTTCCTCTTCCCCTTCTGGTACCCCTATAATTCGGATGTTGGAACGTTTAAAGATGTCCTGAAGGTTCCTAAGCCTTTCCTTATTTTTTGAATTCTTGTTTCCTCATCCTTTTCTGTTTGGTCATTTTTTCCCTTTTTCTGGTCCACTCCTTTGATTTGAGTCCCAGTTTCCTTTCCATTACTATTGGTTTCCTGTGCATTTCCCTTCATTTCAATTAGTTTAGCCTTCATATGTTCCTCTAATTTGTGACTAAAATCAACCAGTTCTGTGAGCATCCTGATCACCAGTGTTTTGAACTGTGCATCTGAAAGTTTGGCTATTTCTTCATTGCTTAGATTTATTGGCTCTGAGGCTCTGAGTTGTTCTTGAGCCATATTTTGATCTGTTTGTGCCTGTTATGTATGAGGAGCGGAGCCTTAGGTGTTCACCAGGGCGGGGCCACCCAGGTCGCTGGTTTGTGACACTGTATGTGGGGGTGGGGTCAGAGAGGGACAATGGTGGTCCCCTCTGCTGCTTCCACCACTGGGCCCTGCAGGGTCTGTCTCACCGCTTGCTCCTTCACCGGTTTATCTGCGCGTGAATGTGTGACCATGGTCAGCCCTCAGTGAGTCCACTGCCTTTCGCCCTCAGTGGGTCCGCCCGCTACTCCACACTTGGGATCTGCCCATGGCTGCTGGAGTGCCTGGGTCACGCACCCGAGTCGGTCCGGTGGATCTTTCTCGTCCGACCCCACTTTGCTGCTGGCTCTGCCCCTCTTACTGGTTTGGCCAAAGCGTTCGTTGTTGTCAGACTTCCGTGTAGTTCAATTTTCTGTGGTTTGGCTGTGTTTTTGTTGCTAAAACTTTGTCGTTTTTAAACTTGGTTGTGCGAGAAGGTACAGTGCTTCCACCTATGTCTCCATCTTGGCAGAAGTCCTTTTTGTGAATTTTTAATGATTCTAGTTTCATACTATTGTGCTCGGAAAAGATGCTTGGTGTTTTTAAGTCTGCTAAGACTTCTTTTATAAACATATCATTTCCAGATGTTGAACAACAGGCTGCTCAGGGCTGACCCAGAAGACGGATCAGGGTGTAGAAAGTAAAAATGGAGACAATTGGCACCTTTGTAAGGACTGAGACCAAAAATAGTGAGTTGGTGGGTACACAGAAAAGATTCTTTTTACCACTGAAAAATTTCTGCAAAAGGCAAGTGACTCTTAAAAGCAAAACCAAAACAATATGTTGTTGAGTTTATATTTTCTGTAACTGTAAAAGGCAGGACAACAATAATGCATAAATGGGAAGGGAGGAAGCAATGGTAGAATGTCATAGAGATCTTAGAGGACTTGTGTTGTGATGGACTATTCACTGGAGGTAGAATGTAAGTTAAAGGTGCATACTGTCAATCATGGAGCAACCACTGGGAAACTAACATGAGGTGCAGCTAATAAAGCAGGAGATGAAATACAGTGAAATTTTAAAATTGACCAAAAAAGGCAGAGAAAAAAAGGACAGATGGGACAGAGACGAGTAGCAAAATGATGAACTCAAACCCAACCATATAAATAATATTAGATGTAAGTTATCTAAATGCTTCAATTATAAGACAGTCAGGTTGGGTTTGAAAAGCAGGGCCCACCTGTGTGCTGTGTGAAGGAAATCCCACTTTACATGTAGAGACCCAGACAGATTACAGGGGAAGAACCCAAAAAGACACACCGTCAAAAAGAGAAACCACGCACAGGCTCAGCGTTTGACACCTGCAGCGGCTGTATTAAAGTCAAACAAAGTAGGAGCCAAACAATACCATCTTTACACGTGGGATGAAGAAAGACCTTTCATAATGACAGATAGGTAAATGCGTCCACGAGACAATAATATTGAAAGTACCTCCTAAGTCCCGGAGCTTCAGAAAACAACAGAACTTTCAACTCCAAGGAGGGCACACTGACCCAAACAAATGGGGAAAGAGATGACCCCACACTTACAGTTGGAGATTTCAACACTCCTTCCCCAATACTGGGTATTATTTCCTTGTTTTCCCAAACTGAGCACAGACAAGGAAGAGATATGGGGTTTCCCGATCAACTAATTTTCTCCCCAGCCCCCTCTGACTTCTGGTTTTACTTCCACACGTCCCACCGTCTTACGTCAAACGGGTCCTGGAAGGGCAGAGGGAGTTGAAGACCTAGGGTCTGGTCCGGACTCTGGGCCATGGGTGGCCCATTGGGCACCATCTATGCTTCCTTGGCCCCTGGGGGGAAAGAGACAGCAGTTTCTCTGCTGTTGATGAGAAAGCAGGACTCCCTGTGGTCTCTGTGAGTGGGGAGTGGCTGGGGGAGGGGGCTGTCTGAGGCCTTGCAGGGACTGGGTGGGTTGGGGGGCTGGTGAGTGTTCAGTGAGGCTGACTCCCAGCAGGGCCTGGTAGGTAGGTGTCTGCCCCGACAGGACCTGGATTTTCATGAAGAGGCTAAATTGCACCAAGGGTAGCTGATCATGCCCAGGGTTAGCGCATCCATACTGGTAGGTGGGGCTGGCCAAGGGTGAACAGAGACTGAAGCTGTCCCTACTAGATCAAGGACATCTGTCCTCTGAGTGGAAAATGAGTGAGGGGTTGTTGGAACAAGGGGACCGACGTGGGGTGGAAGACATGGTCACCTCTTCTCCTCACCAGGGAGGTTGGTTTCACCAATGGGTAGAAAGAAAAGGAGAATGTCTCTTTACCCCTTAGTCATTCATCCTTCAGTTATAGTGTCGTGAGTGCCTTCCAAGCCCAGAAAAGTCCCTTTGCAGACTTAGAATTTGACCTGGGGGAGCCATCAACGGAACTTCTCCCAGGTTCCGATGACGTGCAGGGAGCCCCGGCTCTGCTGGCTGCCGACAGTCGGTGAAGGAGTGGCTCCTGAGTCCTGGCTGGACTCTCCTGTGGTCCGAGGACACATCCCACTCCATGTCAGCTCTTCTACACGTGGTGAGCTTTGTGTTGAGGCCCAGGACAGGGCCTATCCTGTCACGGGATCCATGTGCCCCCGAAAAAAAAAATGTGTCTTCTGTAAATTTCAACTTCCACAAATGCCAGTTAGCCCCGTGGAGGGACGGTGTGAGGGATCCTTTTAGACCCCGGCTCATTTTTCAGGTAGCTGTTCTGTCGATTGTAGGGGGAGAGCAGTGAAGTCTCTAACCACGATCGTGGATTTGCCTGATTCCCCTTTCACTTTCAGTTTCTGCGCACACATTTGGCTTCTTTGGTCTTGGAGGAAACATTTAGGATTGCTCTGTCTTCTTGGTGGAGGGGCCTTCCACCCTTCTACAATGTTCAACTTCCTGCACCTGGGAATTTTCTTTGGTTTGAAGTCTAATTCGTTTGCTATCAATACAGCTATTCCTTCTTCCTTTTGCACCATTTATTCTATCCTTTGATGTTCAACCTGTTTCTACCATAATATTTGAAAGGCTTTTTCTGAAAGCAGCCAATGTTTGGGGCATGAGTTTTAACCTACTCGGCCAATCTGTGCCTTTTTATTAGCAAACATTCTCTTCCCTGATGTACCTGAATTGCAGCTGTAGTGGGGTGTGCCTGCTCCTTGGAACCCCTGGGGGCTTCTGCCTACATCCCAGCAGCTCCATCACTGTCCCTGGGGGACCCCTGGGCTCCCTCCCTCCCCAACCAAGGGGGGAGAATCACGTGTTTCATTGCTCCCACTGGATGCTTTTCTTTTTTTTCTTTCTCATTTGTTTACCACTGACCATGTCCCATCTCAGCGAAGAGACAATGGTAGCCTTTTTCCCTTTGTTCTTTGCAAAAGGATGTTGGAAGGTGGACAAGACGAGAATCCAGATTCCCCATCAGGCCCCCTACTGGGGACTGTGCATGACCCTGGAAGCAGAGTGACCTCGGCAGCAGAGGAAGTGCTGAGTCTCGGCCTTGGCATTGGGTTCCTGTTCATGTTGGCAGTGGTTCCAGGAGGGGCTGCTGGGCCTCTCTCTCCACTGTGTGCTCAGCTGTTGCAGATTATTTTCCCTCTGATGTGTCTCTTCAGTGATGTGAGGGCATCAGTGACCTGGGACTCTCTGTCCGTGAGGACAGAGCAGAGGACACCATAGGGACCCAGTAGAATCTGGGGTGAGCTTGAGTTTGTGTGTGAGGGTGGAGACCCTGGGGACACAGCAAGTGTGGGTGCAGAGATGAGTTGGCTAACCTGGCTCATTCTACCTGGGCCCAGAGTTGACCTTCCCGGATATGCATGGCACAGCGGGGCGGACGCTTTGCCCACCATGGTGTCACCAGTGCTCAGCCCACCAGGGTCTGTGGGCCCTTTATTATAAGATTTCAACCCTCCTAATTTTTTGGCTTTATCCCTCAGTGGCAAAGCACACTCCCACCCCCATGAATGTGCCAGCTAGTGACAAAAGTCCTCTGGGGAAGTAAACTCTCCTCAGAGCCTCTGTGGCTCCCAGGGACTTGAGTCTCTAGTTCAAGTTTCCTTGGGCTAGTAAGTGTTCTGATAGTGACACAGAATCCCCTGGGGAGATGTCCCCTGCAGGGACAGAAAGACAGTTCTTCAGGGTCTTCTCTTCCTGTGGGCATGCACCCTAGTGTGTGTGTGTGTGTGTGTGTGTGTTCCTGCACTTGGGTGTGAGTGTGGTTTTGCAGGTGGGTCGGGGACGACAGAGCAGTGCCTTTGTTCAATGCGAGTATCAGGGGGATGAGCTAACGTCTACAAATACTGATGTCGGACAAGACGATGTGAACATCCAGTGCATTTATTCACTCAGTTCATGGTCAACTGAAACCAGTGGGGATGGACTGAGGGTTTGGGTGGGGCCTGACCCTGGTCCCGTGGGGAGACAGGGGCTGATTCAGTGACAGGGGACACAGCCTGAGGTCAGTGGAAAAGAGGCAAAAGCAACAGTTATTTGGCTTAAGTAAGAAAGAAGCTCAGAGAGGGCTAGGTCACGAAGGCACGTTTTGGGGAAGAGACAGGACCTGGTAGGATATTGTTGTTGGTAGATTACTGCCAGGTGAGGGACACAAGGCAAACCTGTGGACCCTGGAGGCACAGACACCAGAGATGAGTGTGATGGTCAGCTGACCAGTCAAAGTGCTGTTTATAGCCTGTCACTCAGGACCGATTTGGGGCTCAGGGCCGATTTGGGGCTCAGAGCCGATTTGGGGCTCAGGCCCTTGTCCGGCGAGCAGTCGGAAGAACAGGAGGAACACAGCACACAGCAGCAGCACCGCGCACATCTTCCTGGGCGGCACCCAAGCCTGCAGCCTGACCAGCAGCTGGCGCCCCTGCCGGCCACGAGTGCTGTCGGCCAGTTTCTTGGCCACCCTGCGCCTCCGCTCCTGCGGACCCACCCTGGCCAGCGTCTGCACCAGGTGGTACACGTCGTTGGTGAAGGGGACAACAGAGTGGTCCCGTACTAGGCTCTCCACCAGCCGCCGCAGCTCCCGCACCTGGGCTTCCTGCTCTGGGCCCACCGCCCGGTTGTCGAAGGCGCACACGCGGCCCCCGCACTCGTCCACCAGCCTCCTCAGTGCGCCGTTGTCTGTGTCACGCACGAACTCCTGCAGCGAGCCCCCCGCCAGGTCGTCCTTGCGGGTGAACAGTACGATGGTGCGCGCTGTCACGTGGTCCCCGAACAGGTCCTTGAGTGCTCTCAGGGCCTGCTGGTCCTGCATGGTGAAGCGGCCCAGCTGAGTCACCAGGACCAGCGCATGGGGCCCGGGTGCCGACAGCAGGTAGCAGCTCGCCCGCTCATGGAATCCTGGGTCTGTTTTGGGGACTTGAGGGCTGAAAATGTCCGGGGTGTCCATGACTTCCACGTTCCAGTCACCCCACTTGCAGCTCTGCACCTCGCATGTTCTGGTCACTGAGGTGGCCTCGAGCCTGGAGACGAAGCACCTCCGGCCCAGGATGCTGTTCCCAGTGGCGCTCTTCCCCACCCCTGTCCTCCCTGCCAGGATGAGCCTCAGCTTCTTCTCCTTTGGGCCACTCGTGGTGTCTTCATAACCTGGAGGACAGGTGGTCTGTGAGCTTCCAAACCCTAAAGCAACTAGGTGTCCTGGTTACCTGGTCCCCCCACCCGAACCCCCAGAGCCCTTGTAACAAAGGAGAACAACAGCATTTCAACTCTGCTTTCCAAGCAAACCCTTACTGTGGTCATCGGTCAGAGCTGTCCCAACCCCAGGGCACCTTCACCATCACCCCTGCCCTCTCGGCTTCACCAGGAGCACCTGTAGGTGCTCGTCACCTGGTGGGCATTCCTCTAGAGGGTGTCCCTGTGTAGTCCCAGGCATGGCCTCCCCTGCATTACCCCTGGTCGTCCTCATGGGGCAGAGCTGTCCCTGCTGGGCAGCATCAGTGGCCTCTGCCACTGTCCCCCAGGGTCCAGCCCAGGGAAGAAGGCAGGAGGGGGCGGTGGGCCTGAGTGTGAAGGGCTCTGTGGGGTCCCAGACCCGGGCTTGACTCCCAGCCCTGCCATGGGCCGGCTGTGCCACCTTGGCAGTTGCTTAATCTAAGTGTTAAACCTTTGTGCAAAATTGGGAGTAAGTGTGGTGTTGTTTCCTCCTGGGGATGTTAGATGCCATCACTCCTTTCCTTCCTCCTCCTCTCCCTCTCCCCCTCTTCTCCCCTCACCCCATCTCCCTCTCTTAACCCTGCTGCCTACTAATGAGACACCTGTGTACTCCCCACCCTGGGTCTCTAACCCTCTACCTGGTGCGTGACCCCCCTCCAGTGCAGGAGCTGATGCCCTCTCCATCCTCCTCTGTGGGGTCAGGGTGGGTTTAGTGTCCTCATTGTACACTTTGGCACCAGGGGGCGCAGGCCAGTGAAAGATGTTAGCACCTCCCAGCTGGGCAGGGGCAGGGACTCAGCTACAGCACACAGGTCAGGGCTCTTGCTGTGTCAGGACTCCCTGACATCTCGGGGCGTCCTTTAGGGCCTGCCTGCTCAGTCCTGAGGTCGCCCATTTCCATCATCACCCAGAGCTCACACCTGGGGCCAAGTTCTCAGTGGGAGAAGTGCTCTTACCCCAGGGGTTTTCCTCATCTCTTGCCATCTTCCGTCCTCCCATGCTTAGCTGGAAGAGTCCCAAACACAGATGGTTCATTGAAGTGGTACAACTACCGCCAAGAGCTGCTGACAGCACAGTGACAAAGTTGTGGTCCCCGCTCCCCCTGAACATGGCACTTGAGGGAGCAACACTGCAAGGGCCCAGGCAGGGGCGGAGCTGATGCTGGGAGAGGTTTGCTGAGCTCTGTCTGTTCAGGGCCGCCAAAGGCACACGGCCGAGGGCAGGTTGTGACAGTTACTCAGGTCAGTGACCAAGCTTCAGATGCTAATTTCTCCCAGGTAGCTCTGTGCTGGGGACCAAAGAGGTAGATGCTAAGTTTTCCCAGGAGTCTTGGGGAGACTGGGAGAATAGACAAGAGGCTCAGTGACTGGGGGAACCACTTAGCGGGGTTGGCTGGGAGACACACAGGATGGGAACTGGAATTGGGGTTTTGGAAACTGGAAAAGAATCCTATGTCCCAGGTGACCTGGAGAGCCTGTGACTCTGCTCTTGGGAAGCCAAATTCTTGCTCTGTCTCGGGGTGTCTGATGGGATCGGTGGCCCTGAGAGCTGGGCCACTCCCCTCCAACTCCTGATGTCCTGCCCCCAAAGCTGTGGCTTCTCCAGGTCAGGTGGTTCCAGCCACTCAGGCATCATGAACATGATGGAACATTCTGGAATCACTGAGTCCCTGAGCACAGCACCCCTCTGTCCTCAGTCTCCTGTCCAGACTCAGGACGGTGACCCCCTCACTGGGCTGCCCCCCATCTCCGAGAGCAAATGTCAGGCCTTTCCCAGCCACCTTGTGCTCTTCTGATTGTGGCCCTTCAGTCTCCCCCCAGGCCCTGTCTGAGCCCTGTCCTTGCTGTAGGGTCCATTTCTAATTCCACCTGGTGACCAAAGGTGACTGCGTTCTCTTCCGGTGGCACCACGTAAAGAAAGGTCAAGGGGGAGGTCGCTGAACACCTTGTCTCTGGGGAAAGGACTTCGATGACGGGCTGGCCTGGTCCTCAGTCCAAAGGTCTTGGTGTTTTTGCTGGAACATGGCTCCTTCCCCCTCCGAGCCTACACTACTGTTCACGTCCACCACCCGCTGCCCCTCCTTACGAATCAACACACTCTCATGAATGGCAGCAGAGCAGAATTGGAGAAAGAGCCAGAGAGTCATAGCAAAACCCAGTAATTTAGTGAAAGCAAAGGGTCTTGGTCCAAGATGGAGAAGAGAAGGTACAAGGACCACCCTGGACCTGAAGGTGGGCCCTTCAGAACATCCCACAGAGTCTGGGGTGGGATTTGGAAAGTTCTCAGCCATTCCAGAGAGCCGACCTCTGGGCTGCAGGTGTATCAGATCTCTGAGGGGCAGGTGCGCTTACCTTGTCCAGGGCTTCTGACCCCCTTCAGGCGTTATCCAGGGGACTCTGGGAAAGGTGTATTTCTCAGCGGGTTTGGTTCACGTGTCTGTACCTTCAGAACAGGAGCAGCCCGGTACCCCAGTCCACCGGTGATTCTGAGGCACTCAGCCTGGCCCTGAGTCTCTGGGTCAGTCTCCCCAGTCCAGCCCCTCGTCCTGCTGGGAGTGGGGGGAGCTCAGGGGCTCAGCTGCACACACACCCTGAAAGCTCAGGTTTGGAGCAGTGTCTAAGGGGAGAGTTATGACAGGTGTGCAAAGACCAAGTTCACAACCTTGGCTGCCTCCTCCAGCAAGACCGTTTGTGCACAACTCAGAGAAGAGTGGAGTGTTTGGGGAGGTTCAGCCCAGGTGCCCACATTACTGTCATTTTGTCTCTAGTTCTTAGGGGATTTGCTTCCATGTCCTCAGAAATCTCTTGCCTGTTTGACTATGCATGTGGGGGGGGGGGGAGTCTGCTGCCCTCTAAAGGAAGTTTTGGTCCCTGCACAAGAGCGAGCTGACCCCTTCCCTGCTTGCCAGGGGAGCCCTTGGGAGAGTGTTGGTCCTGTGGGCACCTGGGCTGGGGGAGCTGTGGCCATAACCTGCTCTGTGTGGGACTCAGGGTGTCCTGAATGTCTCCTTCTAGGTCCCATGCCCTTTCCCACTGCCCTCTGGCCCAGAGCCACTCACTCAGGGAGCTTCCTGCCCACACTGCATTCCTCCCCATCCTCACAGCCCTCCTCCCCTGGGGGCCATCCCCCACAGATCTCACCTTTCCTGCAGAGAGGGGACAGTCACAGAAGCCCAGCACCAACTGCTGTCCTCTGGTTTCAGTGCAGCAGGCTGTTCCTCCTGCTACCAGGGCAAGTGTCCTGCCTCTCAGACCTCAGAGAGCAGGAAGCCCAGGGGTGGGGTGGGGGTGGGGCCAGGGTGACAATTTAAAGAGACAGGAACACTCCTTACTGAGGGAGTGGGGATGCTGAATTTCCACTGGGAAATGAGGCTGTGGTCCATGGTGGTGTCCTCTGAAAGTCCCTGTGACACCAACAGCTTGTCCCCCAGGGGCTGTAACCTCAGAGGACAAGAGCATGTAAGGTTCTGAGGCCTGAATTCCTTTCTAGCCTTGACCATGAGTCTTAACTGCTTTTGCTTGCTGGGCATTTTCCTCTGAAATGCCCTCTCGAGAGCCTCCTTCCTTGGGCCAGTGCCACAGAGGCCACCCTGCGTGCCAGGAACACCCCGGGCAGGGTTCTCTGGGTTCTCAACAGAAGGGAAGGCCTTCCCGAAAGTCCAGCACAGGGCCGCGGGGAGGGGGGAGCACTGTCCCCCAGAGCCGCCCCAGCCCCTCTGCAGGTGTCTCCCACCAGGGGGCCAGGAGACCTGAGGGAGGTGAGGAAACACAGGTTTGGTGGAGAGGGAAGGAGGCTGCCCCAGGGTCGTGTGGGTGCGGGGCCTGGGCCTGGCAGGTCAGGGACAAGATGTGACAGGGCCTGACTCCCTGAGGCTCCCTGGAGGTGACATTGCCCATAGATAGTGAGGGGTTTAACTTCCTGTGAAGGTCATGGGCTGGGGTCTGGTTTCAGCCCATCTTTGCCAGCTCATTATTTGTAATGAAGAACCCACTGAACCCCACCTACTGTCCCCCCACACCCCCCAGCTCTACTGAGAGGTCATTGACGTGCAACACTGTGGAAGTTGGAAGTACGGAGCGTGCTGATTTGATGCATTTACATGTCGGCCAAGACAGCGACCACCATGGCGTGTGTTGGGCTGCTAACACCTGCACCACTTCCCATGATTCCTGTTTCTGTCCTGTGCTGACAACACTGAGGACCTGCCCTCTTAGCAACTTTCAGGGCAGAACAGTGTCATCAACTCCAGTCACTGTGAGGCACATTTGGTCCCCAGAACTAATTCATCTCTAAGTGGCCGTTGTGCAGTCTGACCACTGGCCCCCCATTCCCCACCGGCCTGCCCCTGCTAACAGCCAGACTGCTCTCGTCTCTGAGAGTTTGGGTGTTTAAAATCCCCAGTTGGAAGTGATGTCGTACAGTGTTTATTACCCTGTCGGACTAACTTCACTGACCAAATGCCCTTCAGGTCTGCAAGTGGAAACATGTCCTTATGATTCTCATGGCTGAACACACACACACACACACACACATACACACACACACACGTGCAGGCAAAGGTAGGTTTACTTTTTTGTGAGTTCGGAAAATAGAGGTTAATCCTGTATCATTTTTCATTAATTGCTGTTTTTGTACTCACCACCCTACACCCACTTTTGCCCCCTCCTGCATACTCTGTCCCTGGTACCTGTCACGTGACCTTTAGCTGTTGGTCCCTACACAGGGCCTTAGGTGGTCCCCACACCCTGGCTGCTCTGAGTAACTCTGCAGTGAGCAGGGAGGTGCGGAGGCCTCTTTGGGGTCCTGTGCTCATTCCCTGTGGATGGCGTCCGTGTGGACCAGGTGGTGGTGCTGTCTTCAGGTGCTTGGTGACTCTCCCTGCTGTTTTCCAGAGTGGCTGTCCCTCTTTACATTCCCACCGACAGTGTACAAACGTTCCCTTCCCCCCAGGTCCTCACCAACACTTGTTACCTCTTGTGTTTTTGACAATAGGCATTCTAAGAGGTGTGAGGTGGTGTCTCATTGTGGTTTTCATTCTCATTTCCCTGATAATCAGGGATGCTGGACACTGTGTTCTCTTGGCCACTTACATGTCTTTTTAAAAGAGATGTCTATTCAATCTGTCTGCCCACTTTTAAAGAAGGGATTGTTTGGTTTTTGCTACCGAGGTGTAAGGGTTTCCCATATATTTTACATCTTATCTCCTGATTAGATACAAGACTGGCAAGTGTTTTCTGCCATTCTGTAAATTGCCTTTTCAGTGTGTGGGTGGTTTTCTGTGCTTGGCAGGAGCTTATTAATTTGATGTTGTCCCACTTACTTATTTTTGCTTCTGTTTCCTTGGTTTTGGGGCCAGATCCAAACAATGATGACCAAGACTGATGTGAAGGAGCTTACACCCTTTGTTTTCTTTTAGGAAGTTTATAGTTTCAGGTCATATGTTCAGACCTTAGTCCATTGGAGTTGATTTTTGTGTGTAGTATCAGACTAGAGTCCAATTTGCTTCTTTTTCACGTGGTTGCCCCATTTGACAGCACTGTTCACTGAAGAGACTTTCCTTTTCCCATTGTATATTCTTGACTCATTTGTTGTAAATCAATTGGCCATTGATTTCTGGGTCTTTATTCCCCCCCATTGATGTATGTGTCTGTTTTTTTGTGTGTGACAGTACCATCCTGTTTTGATTAGTATAACTTTGTAATATAGTTTGAAACCATGATATGTGATACCTCCGGCTTTCTTATTCTTTCTTAAGACTGCTTTGGCTATTCAGCATCGTTTGAGTTTCTATAAAAGTTTTAGAATTTTTTTTCTATTTCTGTGAAAAATGCCATTGGAGTTTTGACAGGAATTTTGTTGAATCTGTAGATTGTTCTGAGTCATATGGTCATTTGAAAAATATTAATTCTCCAAATCCATAAGCACAAAATAGCTTTCCATGTATTGTGTCTTTCTTCAATTTCTTTTAACAATATCTAATAGTTTTCAATATACAGTCTTTCAGCTCCTCTTTCAACTTAATTTACTCCTTGGTATTTTATTCTTTGTGATGTTATTGTATGTGGGATTACTTTCTTAATTTCTCTTTCTGATAAATCATTATTAGTGTATGAAAATGCAATCGATTTTTTGTATTTGTATATTGATTTTGTGTCCTGCAAATGCACTGAATTTGCTTATCATTTCTCACAGGATTTTTTTGGTGGATTTTAGCTACATAACATTATGTCATTTGCAAATAGAGACCATTTTACTTTTTCGTTTTTGATTTGGATGCCTTTTATTATTCTCATGCCTAATTGCTCTGACCAGGACTTCCAGTAGAATGCTGAATAAAAGTGGTGAGAGTGGGCATCCTTGTATTGCTCCTGAACTTTGAAGAAAAGCTCTCAGCTTTTTTCCCCCTTTTTAAAAACATTTTAAAAAATTTATTTATTGATTATGCTGTTACAGTTGTTCTATTCCCCCCTTCATTCCCCTCCACCCTACCCCCCGCCCCCACCATTACCCCCCCTTTAGTTTATGACCATGTGTCTCAAGTTCTTTAGATTCTATTTTTCCCCTACTATTCTTGCCCTTCCATCTATTTTCTATCTACTGTCTATGCTACTTATTTTCTGTACCTTCTCCCCTCTTCTCCTCCTCCCACTCCCCTGTTGCTAACCCTCCTTGAGATCTTCATTTCTATGTTTCCACTCTTGATCTAGCTGTCCTTTTCGTTTGCTCTTGTTTTAGGTGTGGTTGTTAATAACTGTGAGTTTGCTGTCCTTTCACTGTTCATGTTTTTTTAACTTCTTTTTCTGAGATAAATCCCTTTAACATTTCATATAATAAGCTCTCAGCTTTTTACTTTCAATGATGTTAGCCGTGGGCTTGTCACATATGGGCTTTGTTTGTGCCCAGCGTGTTAAGAGTTTTTATTATGACAGGATGCTGGGTTTTATCCAGCGCTTTTTCTTTACTTGAGATGATGAAATAACTTTTATCTTTCACACTGTCAATGTGATGCATCCCGTGAACTGACTGATGGGTGCTGACCCCTTCTCGTTTGGAACAGTGTCCATTCTGCCTAATCGCCCTGGTCAGACCCTCCTGCACAGCGTGAAAATGAGGTGGCAGGAGCAGGTCTCTCTGTCCTATTCCTGACGTTTCGGGAGAGCTTTCAGTCCATCATCACTGAGTAGGTCCCAGCTATGGGATCTCATAGACGCCTTTTAGCCGGTTGTGGAAGTTTCTCTCTCTTCCTAGATTGTTGTGTGATTTATTTTGAAAGGTTGTTCATTTTTGTCAAGTAGTTTTCTAAATTTGGTGAGATTATCATGCACTTTTCTTCTCCTTTCTGTTG